GTGTTTATTATATAATATTGTATAGTGTTTATTATATAATATTGTCTAGTGTTTATTCTATAATATTGTCTAGTGTTTATTCCATAATATTGTCTAGTGTTTATTCTATAATATTGTCTAGTGTTTATTATATGATATTGACTAGTGTTTATTATATGATATTGTCTAGTGTTTATTATATAATATTGTCTAGTGTTTATTATATAATATTGCCTAGTGTTTATTCTATAATATTGTATAGTGTTTATTCTATAATATTGTCTAGTGTTTATTATATAATATTGTCTAGTGTTTATTCTATAATATTGTCTAGTGTTTATTATATAATATTGTCTAGTGTTTATTATATAATATTGTCTAGTGTTTATTAGATAATATTGCCTAGTGTTTATTCTATAATATTGTCTAGTGTTTATTCCATAATATTGTCTAGTGTTTATTATATAATATTGTATAGTGTTTATTATATAATATTGTCTAGTGTTTATTCTATAATATTGTCTAGTGTTTATTCCATAATATTGTCTAGTGTTTATTATATAATATTGTCTTGTGTTTATTCTATAATATTGTCTTGTGTTTATTATATGATATTGTCTAGTGTTTATTATATAATAGTGTCTAGTGTTTATTATATAATATTGTCTAGTGTTTATTCTATAATATTGTCTAGTGTTTATTCTATAATATTGTCTAGTGTTTATTATATAATATTGTCTAGTGTTTATTATATAATATTGTCTTGTGTTTATTCTATAATATTGTCTTGTGTTTATTATATGATATTGTCTAGTGTTTATTATATAATATTGTCTTGTGTTTATTATATAATATTGTCTAGTGTTTATTATATAATATTGTCTAGTGTTTATTCTATAATATTGTCTAGTGTTTATTATATAATATTGTCTAGTGTTTATTATATAATATTGTCTTGTGTTTATCTATAATATTGTCTAGTGTTTATTATATAATATTGTCTAGTGTTTATTATATAATATCGTCTAGTGTTTATTATATAATATGT